TACATAGGAATACATAGAGCGTTACAGAGGGATACGTAGAGCGTGACATAGGAATACATAAAGCGTCACAGAGGCATACGTAGAGCGTTACAGAGAGCGTTACAGAGGGATACAGAGCGTGAAATAGGAATACATAAAGCATCACAGAGGGATACGTAGAGCGTTACAGAGGGATACAGAGAGCGTTACATAGGAATACATAGAGCGTTACAGAGAGCATTCCAGAGGGATACGTAGAGCGTCACAGTTTAGCTGAGAGCCACTGACCAAGCTGTGCTATTTGATGAGTTGGGAGTGAGAATGTACTGGAATGACAGTGTGTTCATGAATACATACACAGAGTGCATGTGCTCTGTTTGTGCATAACAGTGTGTGTATATATATATAATGTGTGTGTGTGTGTGTGTGTGTGTCAGGGCCCATGCAAGAGACGGTGAGGGATTTCTGGAGGATGGTCTGGCAGGAAAACTCGGCCTCTATTGTCATGGTTACCAACCTGGTGGAGGTGGGCAGGGTGAGTTTATCGTCCAAGATTGTGTGTGTGTGTGTGTGTGTCTGTGTGTTTGTTTGATCAAGAGGCCAAATACCTTTAGATGCATGAGGATACAGAATGAATTAATACATGGTAGCGAGTGTTATTGTAGTCCATATGATCTACATTACATCTACAATCAGAATCAAACAATTCAATCATGAAATAGTCAAGCTGTATATTGTGCCAGATTTACTAAAAAAATGTGGTCAATTTATACTGTGGTCATGCCCCAGAAGTCCTTATACCTTTGTTTCCATCCTGACCCAATGAGATTAGTTTAGGCAATTTAAGTACTTGTTTTAAGCTACATGCTCTGAAGTTACCAGTTGAGCTGGATTAACCAGGTTACGCAGGTAACTGGAGAAAACTATGTGTGCATTGAGTACCTTGGTGTTAATCAGGTTATATTCCTAACCCTCACATCTGCGGGAACTTTCGCTCACTTTTAAGAACTGTATTAGTGATAGAAAATGCTTTGTCGGTCCTCTACGTATAAAAAGCTCCCAATCTCCGATCTCGCACCTTGAACATTTAAACTTTAATTCAGTTTGAGAAGACTGATTTTTCAGCCATGACCATCTTCTCCCAGAGGCAGCCAAAAACAATAATGAAACTGTAAACCAAGTGTGAACTTCAATCAAACGCTGTAGGTGGCGATGCAGGAAAACATTGTATCAAAGCCAGGTGATGGTTTTCATGACTCCAACCATCTGCATCCAGATGTTTAGTATAGTCACAGTGGTATTATCGGATCTGGCTCCACAATACTGAAACTTAAAGTTTTCTTTAAGAAGTTCAAACATGACTTGATGATGTTATCCACTCATTTCACATGTATTAGTTTACTATGCAGGAGAAGAAAGCTTGATCTTATTCACTGTATTGATGGTGATCAGCTGGACCTCCGCTCCACTGTCAATGCTCATTAGGTGATAATGACTGGCATGTAATACTCATTTAAATACACAGTATGAATGTAAATTGTATTTTCCAGGTGAAGTGTGTGCGTTACTGGCCAGATGAGACTGAGGTTTATGGAGACATCAAGGTGACCCTGATAGAAACTGAACCGCTGGCTGAATACGTCATAAGAACATTCACCGTCCAAAAGGTAAACAAGTGACTCATGGCTTCCCTTTTTTTTAACCCTAAAACCTGTATTACATTACAGCCACTGTGTGACTGAAGGGTTACAGTTACTGGTTTGATTAAGAGGAGGATCACAAGCACAACTGGGGCCTTTTAATTAGGAAGGATTTGAGAAGAGAGAACAAATGTTCTTTAGGACTGTGCACATGAGAAACAGCAGAAAGACGCTCCGCAATAAGAAAAATAGTGCTCTGATATAAAATCTTTGTTTTTAGGGAAGGGGGGGGGGGTTACCTCTTCTTCTTGCTGCTTTTCTTCTCTGTGTTATTTTTATTGTTTCTCTGTTGAACTTTCTACTTTTCTCATAATTCATTTCATTTGACTTATTTGGACAACTTTATTTTTATTAAAAATGCATCAACTGTCGAGAGTGCTACAGGTGAAGTAAATATTTATTGAAATCATGTATGAAACATGATACACATGTATGAACTAGAATCTTGCTGTCGGGTATTTTCTATCTTTCTCTCCCCCTCTTTCATCCCTATCTCCATATTTCCTTCCCCCTTTCACAAAAGCAGCTTATGAAAACGAGTCTTCAAGTCCTCGCTGTCAGCTCGTTTAGCGAGCTATTAATCCCTACCACCTCTGAGTGTGTGTGCGTGTGTGTGTGTGCGTATGTGTGCACAGCTACTCTAAAATTCAAAGGAAAGCTGACTTTGAAATGCCTGTCATTTTTCAGTATGCATTAATTCGTACAAACACACAGACACACACACTTATTAATACATGTGTGTGAGTGTGCACGCAAGTGCGTGCACACGCATGTGTGTGTATGAGAAACAAAGAGAAAGCAGTACAGAGAGCGTATACAGGTTCTGTTCCTCAGTTAAAAAGCTTTAATTGCAGAGAATAATGAGAAGAGCATCTTAATGAAAATGTTAGAGAGAGAGAGAGAGTAGATATTATTTTTAAAGCTTACTGTATAAACTATGTGGATGGTAACATCAAGTTGCTCCTTATGAGCAGACCAGTACCGCTCAGCCGTTGGTGTGTGAGTGTGAATCCGAATGAGAAGCAAATTGTAATGCTCTTTCTCAGGTAAGTTAGAAAGACGCTTCATGAATACAGTCCATCCACCGTTAGTTTCACAGAGCATATGAATCATATAATCCACATGAAAACAAAGGACTTCCTGAACTTCACCCCACCAGGTGGGGTTAGTCCACTGACAACGATCCAAGGTTAAATAGGAAAGAGCCTTGAATCAAATGAGGATCCAGATCTGGTCTTCCTGTTTGGGCTCTTTGTTAAATCTGAACACAGGTGGAATAAGAACAAACTACTGGCACCGAGCACAAAACACAGCCCTGTAGTCTCATATGTAGCTGCAGTGTAAGGAAACGTGTGAAGAATCTGTACTAAATACAGTTTCTCAGTATTTACAGGGCTCAGTTCACTCAATGGACTGCATCCAAAACAGAGAAGAGTAATCTGGTCTTCTCAGATCTGGAGAAACCAAACAACTGGGTTCCTCAGCGGAGATCAAACTGTACAGGACTCAGCAGTGTACACACATCTATAGAGAGGACAGATAGTTGGAGAGATGTGAACATGGAGGAACCGACCCTGAAGTCTGTTTAAAATGCTGAAACCCCCATCAGCCCCTGACTGTGGTCACACAAGGATGTGGTTAAAAACAGGGACTCCATGTCTTCGTCTATCTTGAGTGGACCAACCACACTCATGGGGATAACGTCTGTATTATTTCCCACAAATCTGTGAACCTTCATCAATCACAGCTCTCGTCCATTGGTTTGGATGAGGTTTTGAGAAAGAGAAAACTTGTTGTGCAGAACTGGACTGGACGAGCAGACCTCCAGACAGGTTAGGTGTCTGCTTGAGTAGCAGGCGTCAGACCAAAACCACTGCTTTTTATTAAACAATGATTTCATACTTGTTCTCTCCAGCTACTTCATGTCACCATCACATTCATTCTTCTTCTTGAGGAAGAAGCTGAAAACCTCACACACTCAGTCACCAGATATTTAAGAGAAAAAGAACGATCAAACATTATACGTCCCTGAAGCTCTCTAAAAGGTAGTCAGAGAGGTTCATAGCTGTAGGTTAGATATCGTTACCACTGAAACATTGTATATTATCTGAGACAAGGTGCATGAGGACCTGTAATAGAACCGGGGAGGATATATGTCTGCCTCTTATTTTTAAAAACAAAAGCTGTAAATGCATTTACGTCTAACGCCTTGACGCAGTGTCAACAAGCACACGGCTACGGTTCTCATACAGCGTTCTTAGCTAATTAATGCACTGTAATTCATAGATAACCCACAAAATCAGATATAATGTAATCCATGTAATCATAAACCAGGAAGTATGAAGACCACAACAATCCACACAGGGAGGGGAGTTGGATGTGTCCAATAAGTGGTTTTCCCTGTAAAGATGGAAGTATAGTTTAAAATACCGTATCTGTAACAAGTGGAAACTGTGACTGTAACAAAAGGAATTCAGTTCAAAGTCCAGAGCGTCTCCGTCTCTCTCCTGTCGTCGGCTGTTATAACAGTGTGTTAGTCACAAACACTGATTCACCACATTCTGTAATGTGCTGACAGCTTCATTTACAGTCCTCACAAAGGAGAGAACAGGTTTGTGTTGTGCTTGTAATGCAACACAGAATAAAGGTAGAGGCTGTGTGCAGAGGCGAGGTGGTTGGTCTCATTAGTACCAACCAGTCGTACATTCCAGGCTCCATCTGTGGAGCATCAATGGGAAGTTGAGTTGTCGGATCACCTTGTGGTTTTCTTGGTTTTATTTTTCTCGTCTGTTTCTCTCCTCCCTTTTCTTTGTCACAGACATCTCTTCATCCTTCCTCACACTCATTCCCTGACCTCTGCTCCTTCCCACTCAGCCCATTTTGTGACCTCTCCCCTGTCTCTCTCCTTCTCATGTCATCGCTGCTCCTCAGGTTTCCATAAAGAATATTCCAAAACAAAGAATTCACATCACCCTTGAGCCAGAATGGGAGCTTTAATAGCTACTCGTCCCACTTCTATTCTGAGAGAGTGAACTGAACTGAGAAGGACGCGTCTCCCTCCATTAAAGCCCTGTTTAGTTTACAACAGTTAATGGAATCGATTGATTTGAATTATTAAAGCAGATGCATGTCGTCTTGTGGAGAATAATTGAATGTCTGGAAGCAGAGCAAAGGGTCATGCATATCTAATGCTGAATCCTGGAGCTGTCAAAAATTGTGGCTATTCCTACATCCTGAGCAAGAGATGCAGGTCAGAATTCAGAGTAGGGAACTAGAAGTAAAAGCTTTCAGCCTTCAGGCTGCTGAGGGCCAGTTGACAGGTCTCCAGTTGTCAGAACACACTAACGTTGTTAGGGGGTCCTAGAGGAGTCCTAGAGGGTCATGGTCCTCTATCTTAACATGGAATCCATATTTGTACTGTACCTCTGTGACTAAAGAGCTTGACTGTGGCGAAGTGGATAGCAGGGCCATCCTTCAATTAGAGGATCGGCAGTTCGATCCCCGGCTCTGGCTCCACTAGTTGCTTGTTGATGTGTCCTTGAGCAACACAATTAACCCCAGAATTGTGATAGAATCTGAATTGTAAGTTGCTTAGGATAAAAGCGTCTGCTAAATGACTGTAATCTAATGATGTTAGACAGAAAAAAACGTTTACTAAAATAATAAGACGCACAATGACCACCAAATGCCCCCATGTTTATGATGTCATGCCTTCCTTTGGAGTGGTCACATGTTCGTGTAAAACAATAAGTCTTGATTCATTTCTCATGTAACTTGCACTCTTAACTCAGTTATTTTGACTCATTTTATGTGACATTGAACTAGTGCTAACTAATATCATGACACATCATGCTGGCCTGAGAAAATCACACAAATAGTTCAGCTTTACTAATAGAAAGAAACAAAAATAAATGTAATTATGACTTTGAATTTTGAGACTTCCAATCATGCAGTTTAAGATCTGTGCACATCCAGAGAGGACGTTCTTCGCTGAGTGTGTTATTGTGAATGTACGACTGAACTGAAGGTAATCTTTTCAGCATCAGAATGTCATTAGTCTTTTTTATAATATCCCTACAGTGAGACAGGAAAGCATTTAGAGGCTGTCTGGTGGATGTCCACAATGCTCCAAAATGTCTCTCTTCTGTTTATTTTTTTATTTATTATCTTGTTCTTTAAAAGTTCTCTCCACCTAACAGTTGCCTTACTGTTGAAATAAGTCTCTTTTGATGTGACATAAAATCATATATTTCTACAAACTTAATTTTTAATGAAAGCACATTCCGTTTTTTCTATTTTATTTGAGTTTGAAGGAAATGTATTTTGAGGCTTTCTGATGTCTTTACATATTTGTGACGTCTTCAAATTCCTTTCTGTATGACTTTTAAATAAATATCTGTGTAACTTGAGGCAGCTTAACTGAATTATGGCATCCCCCCCCCTCTAAGTCTTTCCCAAAAGGGCCATCATAAGATTTGTGAAATCAATTAATCTTTTTTTGTGGAGCCAAAATGACCCTCAGTTTCCTCAAATCTCCCCTGTAAATTAGTCAGATGAGCCTCGATAAGTCTTCCTGTCTCTCTTTCCCAGAAGTGGCCCAAAGTGCCTTCTTGACATCGTTGAGATCGATTTATTTTCCATCTGAAGCCAAAGAGGCAGAATGAACCGTAGATTCCTGAAATCCCGGCTGTAAATTAGACCGCTGAACCGTCTTTGTCGCTCTCTCCCTAAAGGGCCATGATCAGATTTATGAGTATCATGGATTTGTCTTCATCAAGGTACAAAATGGCACAGAATAGTTGCCATTGTAAGATATGCAACTGAGGTGTAACTTATCTCCTTGTGTGTTTTTCAGAAGGGTCATCATGAGATCCGTGAACTCCGTCAGTTTCATTTCACCAGCTGGCCCGACCACGGCGTTCCCTGTTACGCCACCGGACTGCTGGGCTTCATACGGCAGGTGAAGTTCCTCAACCTGCCTGATGCTGGGCCTATAGTGGCACACTGCAGGTGAGACCACACACAGATGTACAGGTACTCTTTAATACCTGATGCTGCGCCTATAGTGACAGATGTACAGGTACTCTTTAATACCTGATGCTGCGCCTATAGTGACAGATGCACAGGTACTCTTTAATACCTGATGCTGGGCCTATAGTGGCACACTGCAAGTGAGACCACACACAGATGTACAGGTACTCTTTAATACCTGATGCTGGGCCTATAATAACAAATAAAGAGACAATATATATGTATATATACAGTATATGTAAAACATTACATATTTTATTTCTAAGCATTTTATTGACTTAAAGGGACTCCTTAAATCGTAAAAAGTGTAAAAAGTACATATTTTTCCTCTTAGATTCAGTGCTATTAAATCTATTAAATCTGAATGTAAGTGTGAGTGCCCAATTTGGAGACATTGGCCGTACAGTTGTCTGACTTCTTTCTAAATATTGGGATGAGATGAGGGAAGAAATACATTCGAAAAACTTTCTTTTCAGAAATCATCATCCTTAATCCACAAGCTTGTTGTGAGCAGTTTCATAGGAACTGTTTTCTTTAACCATAGTTCATGTTGGTAAGGAGGCAGATATCTCACATCAAAACTACCTCGATTGATTGAAGTAAGAGGGAAATATGTAACTGTCCCTTTAGCTGAACAACTTACTTTATAGTCTGACATGAACAGAAGATGATCATCAGCATAATGCAGACCCCATGAGATCTATCTGTTCTCCTTTATTCACAATTAAGACAATAGCACAAGTGATCACACACACACGCACATGCATACACACACACACGTACACACACACATACAAACCAACAGAGGCTCACATTAATCACAGAGGCTGACAGGTAATCTGCTGAGGCACTCCCTCCTTTTTTTTCTCTCTCTCTCTCTGTCTCTCTTTCTCTCTGTCTCTCTCTCTCTCTCAATTCTATTCAATTCAATTTGCCTTTATTGGCATGAAAGTTAAACTTTTTTTTTAAACATACAATAACATTAATACACAATGACATTAATATAACGTCAAGATTGATTATTAATTATATATACTATATATACAGTGGGTGTGTGTCTCGGTCACCCACTGTCCCTCAGGTTGTGGCAGGTTAATACATATTGGGCAGCAAGATATGCCCTATCTCCTTCTATACTTCCTATCTCCTTCTCCTATACTTCCTGTCTCCTTCTCCTATACTTCCCGTCTCCTTCTCCTATACTTCCCGTCTCCTTCTCATATACTTCCCGTCTCCTTCTCCTATACTTCCTATCTCCTTCTCCTATACTTCCTATCTCCTTCTCCTATACTTCCTATCTCCTTCTCCTATACTTCCCGTCTCCTTCTCCTATACTTCCCATCTCCTTCTCCTATACTTCCTAGGAGTATTTTTAATTTTGAGATGTCATTAAGTTCTTTGAAATGTGAGATGAAAGTGTTGAATTTGTTGAAGTAAATGTTCCTAATTTTATTAGGAAGTGGAAGTACATCTCTCTCTCAGCCTCACCTGTCTGTCTGTCTGTGTGTCTCTCTGTCTGTCTCAGCCTCACCTGTCCAACAGTGACCACATGTTCTGTTTTCTTTTGGTTCCCATGATTTTTTGTCTTCCTTTTTCGATTTCCAGTTTGTGGTCACTGAGCCTGTAATTGGTGAGGATCTCTCTCTCTCTCCCTCTCTTTCTCTCCGTCTGTCTGTCTCTCTCCCTCTCTCTGTCTTTCTCTCTCTCTCTCTCTCTCTAGCTCCCCCGTGGAACTGTCAGTTCCCCCTCCTCCATTGATCTCTCCCCTGTGATGACCACTTTTATCCCTCCCAATAACTAACATCTCTTCCTCATTCAATCAATCTGTATGTCCGTCTTTTCCCTCCAGTTATTTATCTTCAGGATGAGACACCTTATCATCTGTGGGTATTAAAGTCTCTACATGAGATTTCTAGATCTTAGATCCGCTCCGTCCAAAGTCAGATGAATGCAGTCTCTCCTACTTGGACCTGGTTTTCCCTAGCAAGTCTGCCAATGATCTACAAAGTCCTCACCTCAAGCACCGATCACTGAAGACAACATGTTGACATTTACACATTAGGTAGTCAATGTTGTGCTTCTTTATTTGTCTCTTCAGTGCTGGTGCAGGAAGAACGGGCTGTTTCATTGCAGTGGACATCATGTTGGACATGGCAGAGACTGAGGGCGTGGTGGACATTTTCAACTGTATCCGAGAGCTGAGATCACAACGAGTCAACATGGTCCAAACAGAGGTTGGTGTGCATGTGCACAGACAAATACAAATGCAATACTTCTGTTAGACAACAAGATTTTAGCAAAAAGAACATCCTGTCAGGATGAAATATTATGTACTGTTGCATTTATAAAGAGTACAGTAATTCAAGTGAGAAGAAATCCTCAGTAGCTGATGATTGTTGAGGTGGTAAAACTGAATGAGAAGCTGTACGACAAACATTATCAGTAATAAATCAATAACTATCCACATGTCTGATACATCCAGACATATTCCACCAAATATCTGTGTCCGTCCGACTATCAGCAGCAGGAGCAGAAAAAAAGACACAGTGTCTCAGTACTTCTCAGTCTTATATCATCCATCCCAATCAGCCTATCAATATTAAATATACCCTGAATAATAGATGAGGCTAGTGCAAACACAGACACGTACACACACACACAGGCATGTATACTGTATGCACACATACTTTCTAAATCAAACACGCACACACATTGTGTCTGCGTCTGTATGTCGCAGCTCTCGACTTGTAGTAAGGAATATGGTGTGAGACGCACACACACATGCACACATATACACACACAACCACACGCATAAACATGCACAAACATGCACATTAAAGCATACATACACATTGTAAATTTGACATTGCATTGCTTTTGAGGTTTTCCAAATAGTGAGTTGCAAAAACTTAGTTCCAGTTAAGTTTGGAATTACTTTGTTTTTTTGTTTTATAGAACTAACCAGAACATGTGGTATTAATATTAACCCATGGTATTGGTGAGTTATCAGAGACATTTTTGTCTTTTTATGTTGAGAAATGTGGTGACACGACACAAAGACAATTCAAACACCACGTTGGTTGGCAGTGACCACAGCATAAGCAGAAACACTGCATTCCAACATTGTTTCCAGGACGTATTTCCTGAAACAGTTCTTCCTTTTCATCAGCCGAGGACTCGGGTTAGTTCCTATCCTTTACACTGTGTTATGATTTGTTCAAATTTTGTTCCTTTGTTCAATCCTCTAAAAAGAGTCTGCATGTTTCATTGTGAAACAGAGGCATTAATTTCTTCTCTAAACTACCTTAAGCCGACCTAATCCATCCGCCTCTGCCTTCCATTTGTACTTCTGATGAAAACCCTGCATTTCCAAAAAGTCAACTTAACCAGGAATAAAGAAAGACAGCCTCACTTTCAAACTGACAGCTGAAGCTCGGAGCCTGAAATTGACTGTTGAATTAGTTTTAGAAGTGCTGGGTTATGAAGAGTTACCCAGGGCGTCACTTTGAGTGTTTTCATATGACGGCACTGGTATGAAAGCTAGTTTTGAATGTGTGTGTGTGTATAGTGTGTGTGTGTGTGTGTGTGTGTGTGTACACTTGAAACCAAGCTGAATGCATCCTGCCCTGCCTTTTGAATATGTGTGGGAGCAATTTGTGTCAGTGTTGAAGAAGCTTGACGCTATTATAACTGTGCTCCGAACAACACAAAGCAATTAATCTTTGAAAAGGCACAAGGAAAAGACGTGTGTGTGTGTTGTCTGTGGGTTGTCTGTGTGTTTCTGCATGCTTGTGTGTGTATACTATGTCACTAGAGTAAGTAATGGCATGAGGACGACATTTCAGTGATGCTTTTAAAAGTGTCCTCTCAGCTCCAAGGGCAACAATTAACATTCGACAGATGTAGAGAGACAGAGACCAATAAAACAAGAAGCAAATTGAAAAAGCGGGAGACAGCAGACAAACACAAGTGTGAGAGGAAACAAGAGAAAGAACTGTGGGAAAGAAATAACAAATGAACGAACTCTAGATGAATTGGAAAGACATTTTGAGAGACAGAACGGACATTAACATGTACAGTGCTGCTGTAGCTCATGGTGGCTGATGCCAGCCCACAAGAGAACATCTGATCCCGAGCACAGAATCACTGCAGGGCACTACTCCGTTTTCAATCCACTCTCAGGCTACTGAGAGAGCACGAGCACTCAAGTCATGAATCCACACACACACATAGCAAACAAGTGGAATGTTTGAGTTTGTGAGAGACTTGAGAAGGCAGCAGATACAGGTTCCTGTCCCAGAAGAGTCAATGCTAACAGCCACATGAGAAGCTACACTCAAGTCCTCTGTCTCCTCACAAAGGACAGAGAATTCAAGACGTGTTGACTCCAGCATTTTTTTGATCAGCTGCTTTGGCTCGTGTTGCAGGAGCAGTACGTGTTTGTTCATGATGCCATATTGGAGGCCTGTCTATGTGGGAATACAGCCATTCCAGTGTGTGAGTTCAGAGCTATTTACTACAACATCAGCAGATTGGACCCACAGACCAACTCCAGCCAGATTAAAGATGAGTTCCAGGTGAGCACAAGCACTCAGTTACACTCTTGTTTTTTTGTGCATTGTGAGTACATTGACTGGACTTACATTCATTCCTTGGAGACCCAAACCTTAATCCTGAATGCAACCCTATCCTTGAAGAGAAAATTGGCCAATTGTCAACCTTATCTGTATCTATCTGAGTTTGTGATATCATGTGAAAAATGCCTGCAGTTCTAGCTGTTTTTTATTTGTGTCTCAGGGCAGGCTGGTCTCATCCAGCAATTGTAGCAATATCAAAAAAATGAATGCGTACTACTTCGAAGTTATCTCACAAAACGTTTTCGTATCCACGTAATCTCAAACCAGGAACTATAAAGCACAGCGCTTGAGCACCAAAGCACTAAAGAACGGACTGGAACTGGATGAGTCAAAGAAGCAGCAATCTTTCAGACAGGAGACCGCTGATCGTTCTCTCTGTGAAATGAAGTCAACGTTGACTTCCCTGGTTAATTTAACCTCAAAGATAATCTTTTCCTAAACCTAACTAAATAGTGTTGTTGCCTAAACCTGAGTTTCTTCACATGAAACTGAGTTTCATGTGAAGACAGAAGTTTATTTTGAAAAGACTGTATTCATGTAACGAGCAGAAATTGAAGGAAAAGTTGAGTAGTAACTTTTCGTAGGATAGCATACGAACCGTTGTATGAAGATACGTTGCTCAGGGAAATAGCCTCAACATATATTGTTCTTCCTGCTTCCAACATTTTTGGAAGCTGTAGGGTGCAATGCCACTCAAAAATCCTCATGTTATTAACCTGTTATTAACCAGAATCGACTGGTTGAGCCTTTGTTAATCCAGCAGAAACAGAATCATTCCACAGTAATGAGTCTGTTTGGGCAGTTTTAGACGAACGCTGTCGCCAAAGACTTCCCAGAGAGAGCGAGTTGTGTGCATGAAAGTTTTCCTCCTCACTGGGATAAAGGTGTGCTGGAGAACTTCTTCAAGATCCCAGAGATAAACTGGAAAACACAACCAAGACCAGCAGGGCCAAGACCAACGAGCCGCTGCAACTGATCAGCTGCTCAGCAGAGGGAAACAGCGGGCATATTTGCACATCTTACTCTGAATTAAGGATTTGTTTAGACCAAAGAGTTGCTGAATGTTGGAAGAGTGGAAAGACTAACAATTTTTCTTCCGTCCAGTTTGATGAAGTGAGTTTTACGATGACTTTACAAGACAGTTAAGCCTGTGTTAGTTTTTGTAAGAGAGGAACGTGAATTCAGAAGGTGTACGGTTGTATTTCTTCATTTTAGATGGAAGAAAATGAAACGCGACAACTCTGCAATGGAGATCGACTTTCTCAGTGAATATAGCTCAAATTTATTTCTTTAATCGATTACATTTTCCATCAACACTGAATAGAAATCCACATAAAGATGTCAAATTTTCCCTTTAATTCAAAGACAATTTTAAGATGTAACTTTTGGGACCACATTTTTGTCCCAGGTGAGTCTCCATGAAGTGAATGTGGACTCTCTGTCCTCACTATCTGATTAGTACTTTAGTACTAATTTACTTTAGTTCAATCTGCTTTGCTCTAATAACTCAGCTATGTTTTTAGGAGAGTGAAGTCAACGTAGGAATAATAAACAACCTTTCTGTCAATCAGACACTGAACATAGTGACCCCTAGAGTCCGCCCAGAGGACTGCAGCGTGGGTTTGCTACCCAGGAACCACGATAAGAATCGCAGTATGGACGTTCTATCAGCAGACAGATGCCTGCCTTTTCTCATATCTGTGGACGGAGAGAGCTCCAATTACATCAATGCTGCATTAATGGACGTAAGTGTACATGTTGGGATATGAATGTATTGTCTGATTTCTACTATCCAGTACTGCAGAGATTACTCAATCAATGAGCAGTGCTGTGTTCCCCTGTCTGTTTATCTTGTTCTTGTTGTCGTTTTTTATTTGTGATCTCTAAACTCCAGAGCCACAAACAGCCGGCGGCCTTCATTGTTACCCAGCATCCTTTGCCAAACACCATGGGAGACTTCTGGAGGCTTGTGTTCGACTACAACTGCTCCTCCATCATAATGCTTAATGAGATGGATGCAGCGCAGGTACAAAAACATACAGCCTGAAACTATTTTGATGAATGTGAATGTGTAATGACCCGATTAAGCAGAGAAAGTAATTTATGCAGTTATTTAGCAATTTATTATATTATATTATATTTTATATAAATCTTTCTAAATAATCAATGCATATTTTCAATCATACAATTGAAGACAAACAAGGTTACAGGGTTAGCAGAATATGAAGCTAAAGATGGTTAAATATTATATACATGGCTGTACACTACATGTGGACATTCACCAATTCACACACACACACTGATGGGAGGCTACCATCATTCACACACACTCACACACTGATGGCTCTGCATTCAGGAGCAATTTGGGGTTTAGCATCTTGTCCAAGGACATTTTGATGTGCGGACTGGAGAGGACTGAAGCGCTTATCTTTCGATTAGTGAACAACCCGCTCTGCCCTCTGAGTCACAATGATCCCTCCTTTGGGTTTTTTCTGAACGTACGGGTCAGCACGGAGACACCGGTTCATGGTTATCAACTAGGCGTTGTCGTGGGCTACGAGAAGGGAGCGGAATAACCATCCATCCATCTCACCCGGGCCAGGTTACGGGAGGCAGCAGGCTTTAGACGTTCCAGACGTCCCTCTCTCTAGTAAAGCTCTCCAGCTCTCCCTGGGAAGCCCAGAGACATCTCCTGGACGACAATCTGGATTATCTGAGGTTCAGCAGTTGGTCGGAGTCTCCTTTCTAGCACCCTGGAATATACTTTCCCTGGGGAGACTGAGCAATGAGACACCCCAGTAATTGGATCACATTATCCAGTCCCCCTTTTTAAAAAAAGGGACCACCATCCCAGTCTGCCTCTCCACAAGCACTGTCCCTGAGCTCCAAGCCACACTAAAGATGCGTGCCAGCCAACACAGCCCATCAATGTCCAGAGCTTTCAGCATCTCAGGGTGAATCTCATCCACCGCTGGAGCCTTGCCGCACATGGATGGGTCTTCCTTCGAGTCTTCAAACACTGACACCTCATAGAGGAAGTGTCGGTCTGGTTCAGGAATTTTTGAGATTTATATATAAATGACTCCCTCCACAAAAATATTTTTCAATGCACACAAAAATGGTTATCATTATGTATAAATGTAAAGATAATCCACACTTATAACACAGAGAAGATTAAAAAATATGTATTTAAAGTGATTATAAAATGTTATCAAAAACATATTTGGATGTTTTTACATTCATGTACAAACTGTTAAACCTACATTTAAAAACTGTTGTCATTTTTTTAACTCAACTGCATTTGTGTTTGTGTTTTTTGAGAATGCATTTTTGTTCAATGTGGAAATATCTGTAGCCAATCAGATGTCTCCTCCATTTTTAACCCATCAAATGTGCGAGTCCCCATGAGGGTTTTCTCTTACGCCATGGACAGTGGGAACCTGGGAACGGGGAGGGAGCTCCTACGAACCGTGTGTACCCTAGACAAGTAGGCAAATAACTCTGTAAGGATCCCAAAACCATCCAGATGGGTGATCCTGATGGCCAGATGCACCTTGTATGGCAGCCTCTTTCATCAGTGTATGAATATGTGTGTGAATGGGTTAATGTGGACAAGTAGAATAAAAAGCTTAGAAAGGATCATTATAAATTCTACCAATAGCCAGCTGAAAGCTGTAAACAAACAGGACAGGGCCTAAACTAGCCATCCACACATACAGTAATATAAACATATAGACATCTTATAAAAACTGTACTTATAGACCCTCCACACTCTATGAATATACATCCAATCACAGAGGTGATAATCGTAATGATCAAAGTGAATTCATTCAAGGTTTTTTGAGATCAGATTATTTCCTGCGCTGTTGTACTTTCTGAAAGGAAACTCATTTAAATATAGCTTTTCAACCATGTCACTGTTCCTTTCCTCCCCATTTCTGTTTTTTTTATTTTACAGTTATGTATGCAGTACTGGCCAGAAAAGAGTTCGTGTTGCTACGGTCCCATTCAAGTTGAATTCATATCGGCAGACATTGACGAAGACATCATCAACCGAATCTTCAGGATCTGCAATATGGCCAGGGTACACACTCTCCTTTCCCTTCCCTTCCTCTCTTTTATCTTCTTTCCCTTCACCTCTTTTATCTCCTTTCTCTTTACTTCCCCTCTTATATCTCCTTTCCCTTCACTCCCACTCTCTCTTCTTTCCCTTCACTTCCCCTCTTTTATCTCCTTTCCCTTCACTTCCACTCTTTTATCTCCTTTCCCTTCACTTCCACTATTTTCTCTTCTTTCCCTTCACTGCCCCTATTTTCTCTTATTTCCCTTCACTTCCCCTCTTTTCTCGTCTTTCTTTTCACTTCCCCTCTTTTCTCTCCTTTCTCTTTACTTCCCCTCTTTTCTCTTCTTTCTCTTCACTTCCCCTCTTTTCTCTTCTTTCTCTTTACTACCCCTATTTTCTCTCCTTTCCCTTTACTTCCCCTCTTGTGTCTCCTTTCCCTTCACTTCCCCTCTTTTCTCTCGCCTCTTCTATTTACTCCCCTCTCATCTCATTTTCTCACCCATCTGTGACGGTACTACTCACGGTGCTCCTCTAGCACTTAGTGGACTTCCCACTACTCTCTGTATTCTCTCTCTCCTCTCAAATTCATCCCCAGTCTAGCGTGAAATGGATCATATCATCGTCACAACAGCACATCTCTCACTGTGAGAAAGCTGAGTCTGTACCACCAACCACTAAGCCATCAAATGAAGAGGGAGAGAGTAAAAGAGCAGGACAGCAAAAAAGGTTTGAGAGGAAAACTAAAAGAGTCATGAAGGCTAAAAAAAAGTAGAGTGAGTGCATCAGAAAATGAAAGTGAGTGACGGAAAACTGAGTGAGCCAAAATAAAAGTTAGAAATAGGAGTTGATTGAAGGGGTTAGGGTTAGGGGTTTCTGAGGGAAAGGGCTAAGCGTTATCAGGTTAAAGGAAGGAGGAGAGGGAGGAATGAGAAAGCAGGTGTACTGGGAAGAGAGGAGAGGAAACAGCTGTATTGTGTGTGTTAATGTTATGTGTGTATGTCGCAAACCTCGCAGTAAGTCAGTGATGTTTTGGTATTTTAGGTGGTGGATGCCAACCACCTCGAGACTAGACTACAGAAAAAAAGTATCTGCCATGAAATGTATTAAACATAATAACATGTTGTCTTTGTTGAGTCCTAGCAAGTTTTTTTTCCTCAAAAAGGCAAGAATAACTAATTGGAGCACATCAGCAGTCCTTTATATATCTGTTGAGTAAATCATTACCACATGAGACCACCACTGAGAAGATTGGCAGCTTGTGCCTAAAGCATCACTGCATTTGATATCTATATACTGATCTATTTATAAATATATACAGTATATATGTATATATATATATATATATATATATATATATAATCAGGAGGGAAGCCCCTAAATACATCTTCCACTATTTCACTTGTTCACCAGCTTCAGTAAAACCTTCAGACTACACTTATGTCTTTTGAGATGGACACTTTAAGATAATGTGACCACGGTGGCTGACAGATTTGTTCCCAGTCATAAATTGCTTCGACAAATTAAGGCAGGAGGAGCAGAGACGAACTTCTGGATCACAAATGTCATCAATAATCGTGTCTAAACCATCACAGAGCGTCTTGTCAACATAAGACAGAGAAAGAAAATAATTCATTTAGGCCAATGAGGCAATGTAGATGCAGTGTAGGGCGTCTTATTAACACACTAGGAAGGGTAAAAGTGTTACACATACTAACACATTGTTGATAGTTTCATACCTCTCTCTCCAGCCGCAGGACGGTTACCGCCTGGTGCAGCACTTTCAGTTCATTGGCTGGCCGGCCTACAGGGACACGCCCCTTTCTAAGCGCTCCATCCTCCAGTTGGTCAGGAGGTTGGCGAAGTGGCAGGAGCAGTATGACGGAGGAGACGGGAGGACGGTGGTACACTGCCTGTAAGTTCAACACACACATGCAGGCACACACACCAGCCTCTGATACAGGAACTCAACATTAATCTCAGTTTTAAAGCTTCATCTTTATCTGAAATGTGCTACAAAGAAGCCAAGTTAAGAGTTTATAAAGTGCTTTGACAGACAAAGCAGCAAAAGTGAGGCCTAACAAAGACAACGAAGGTCAGAGTTAAACTCTGATAAAAGAGTACAATAGATTAAATGATAAAACCAATCGATACAATAAAAATAAAATAATAAATAAATAAAATAAAATAATTTAGTAAAATAATTTAGTAAAATAATTTAGTAAAATAATTTTAGTAAAATCAACAATAAAATAAAGCAATAAAGCGACGGCATCACATAAAAGCCATTCTGTAAAATGTGTTTGAAGAAGAGATTTAAAAGCCTTTTATCATCAGGCAGGTCGTTTTAAAGCCGAGGGGTCCTGATGGCAAAAGCAGGGTCACCTTAAGTTTTGATTCTCGACTTTGGAACAGAAGGGCCCCACCTGATTTAAGGCTGCCAGCTGGATCATAGGGGGTCAACATGTCCTCTATATATTTTGGGGCCAGACCCACACATGCTTTAAAAGTGATCAGTAAAATGTTAAAATCAATTCTAAAATGAACAGGGAGCCAGTGGAGAGAAGCCAGGGGTGTCGTCTGTTAAAACCAGCGAGATGATGTGTGGTGATAAAGTTTTGACAGAGTTTTGAGGGTGAGGGTCTAGATCAGGGGTCTTCAACAAAAAATCCAAAAGGTCCAGATTGAGAAAATCTCCTCGGGACAAAGGTCCGAAACATTACAATAATATCTAACTCGCGCTATTTAGTGCTATATATATATTAGTGCTGGGCAAGTTAACGCATTATTATCGCGTTAACGCATTCATTAATTGACGCCGACAATTATTTTAGCGCGTTAACGCATTTTTTTATTTTGAAAATCCGTGGAGGAAGTATAGATAAACAAAAGCAAGACAAGCTAACAGATGCTACAGATATGTAAGTGGATACAAACTGCAGCCGGTTCGAATACACGGCGTTACAACGTGCACCAGCTGTTGCTCTGCCAGGAGACTACTGGACATCGCTGCGGTCAACTCAGCAGACACTTACATTTTAGTGCACCTATATGCTGAAATTCACGGTAAACGCATTTAAACGGCACAGATCGGGAGCGAGCGAAGGACTTTAAAAGTTAGCGGAAAGATTAACGTGAGACAACTTCCGGTTTCTTCAGACGAACATCCAGTTTTCAGAATAAGATGCCAACAAAGTATGAATTATATTCACATTAAGTATAAAACATGCTACCTGCATCTCGTGAGTTAAAGGGAAAATATGCACATGATATAAGAATGATATAATATAAGAAATATGATCTCTACTGTGTAAAGAGAATACTACTGTTAAAAAGCACCTGATGTGTTTAAAGTTTTTGCAAACCAAATGTTATTGCCCTTTTGTTCATATAGCAGTACTTTTAAAATAAAAGTTCACAATACACTACTTTTTAATTAATTATTGAACTTTGCCATAACAATGCGATTAATCGCGATTAATCGCAAAACATCCATGCGATTAATCGTTGCCCAGCACTAATATATATATATATGTATATTCAAGAAGCCTAGTAGTAGTAACAATGTATCTGTGTAGTCAACAACTGTCAAATCAAATAAAGAAAGTACACATCAATTACATTTTAACTAATTATTATTCTCAGTTTTCAAATTGAACTGGATGATTATAAATAATACATAGAAATACATAAGTAAATGTTCTTCTCATTTCAAGTAAAATAATGTCTGCATTAAAGAATAACTGACATAACAGAAAGCTTTTCAAAAATGTGCATCTTAAAATAAAGTAATTCATTTTAGAAAAATGAATTTCACTGAATTTGCCTGCAGCTTTAAATTCAGGTGTGAAGTGATGTCAATAAAAAAGACACAATATTATATATTTCTCATCATCTAAAAAGATAAATCAGTGAGCATGATCTTTATCTGTGGTTATTAAACCACTTGTTTCAGCTCTATTCTCTCTGTGAACATCGTTGTTGAACAGTGAATTCATGTGTTAGGATTCTGATCATTTTGGGCTCTCAGGTTTATTTTATGTCTTCATTTTAGATGTGAGTGGGAACGTTTGTTCAAAGGAGTTGTGCTTTGCCTCGTAGTGTCGCTTCATTTGCCGCTTTTATCAATAGTTACGGTTTCTGAACATATGAGACATACTGGTTTTAACTGCCTGTGGGAAGAATTGACATAGAAGAGTCTGTTCATTCTTGCTTATAAATTCTGTTCTCTCTGAACACGTTTCTCTTTTTGGAGAACACCATGTGAGATAACTTCTCTGATCACGCAATATTCCTGCTCTTCTTTCTATTTCCTCATCTCAGCCCCGTGTGTCACGGTGTGTGTAAATCTCACTGGAGTCAGGAAACTTGTCAGAATACTCATATTTGATTGGCTGAGCTGCATCACCTGACGTGATTTACAACGCATTGGTCGGTGTGTGTCCTGCACCGCTGAACAAGTGCCGTAACGGCTGAATAAGGTGCGCTGGTTAAAGTATAAATACGCATTCTTATATGTATGTTTCCAAATTGTCTATGGGTTTGAGATCCTGGGTCCGGATGCAACTGCGTATGGGTCCGGATACGGACCGCGGTCTGCCAGTTGGGGACCCCTGATCTAGATAAATCTCCCTCTGGAATACAGACACACTGGTGCTGATGAGACTGATAAGGATGATGAATCTGAATGGGGGGGGGACAGCAACATGAACATACTAAAAGTTGAGAAAACAGACAGCAGCAGCAGGATGATGATGTTGTCACTGCACTATTGGACAGAAGAGACCAGCTGATCAGAACAGCTGATGTCATGATTGACAGCTCAAAACACGCCTCAGCATGTTAGAATCTGGTCTACCTGACTTTGACTTTCCATTACACTGTTTGTGCTGTTTATACATACATGGGCACAATAATCAGAAATTATTCCTGAATATGTTCTCTGATTAAAGTTAGATTTGGTTGAGCACTTTGGATTTTGAACAAATTTCATACAAAGTTATTAATTTTAAGCAGCCATGAAAACTGAATTACAACATTGTGGTGGTTTTAATGGAACAGGTTCAGGGGTCAGCTGGAGACGCTCGATGTCTCAGGCTGAAGGTTTATTCAAGTTTAAATTCAAGGAGAATCCGGTAACACAAATGACACAAAGCCACCCTCGATTCTGAAGGTTACAGCATTTCAGTATTTCACCTCTGAGGATGAACAGAAAGAGGAGGTGGCCAATAAGATAATATCTACACAAAGTTACATGTGTAAGCAATGGTTGTTATAGATGAAGGTCATGTCAACATCTGGTTACAGGCCAATAATGTCTCAGCTAATCAATCATAGCGATTACATGTCGTTCTTTGGCTTCACTTGCCCCACTTCATCATGATAGAAGCCCCATAACTGCTCATCGTACAGTCCGGTCGGTTGGTCTTCACTTCATCAGGATGCAGCGTTGGTTTATTCTAAAGTTCAAGGCCGTTAGTTGGGGTTTGGGTTAGTTTCACTCCACCATTTGTCATGTATTGTTTTCTATTGTATTGAATGTAGGTTATCCACATGTAACTTTGCTGCTTTCTTAGCCAAGTCAAGACGTAATCTCACTTTTTTGATATATATATATATATATATGTTTAATAAAATAAATCAGAAAAATGAATGTGATGATGAGGGAGAATAACAGAGGCTGTAGAATCTATAGAGGAGTGATTACAGGAACATCACAAACATTAACACAAAAACATTTCCTCATCACTGCGTCTCATCGAATCAGCTTCCTCTGTCACAGCTCATTGGGTCAATCACAGTTGCCATTGATTTGTTTTTTTTACATGCTGGGCGTTTCATTAGCTTTTTTATCTCTGTGTTAAAGACAGAGTTTGTAAATAAAGCTGCTTTTAGTTAAACCATCTCACTTTGAATCCAATTTCAAAGAACAGCAAACAAATCTAATAATTCTAAATGATATCTAAATATGGAGTTTATACTGTATCTTTATAGCATTTTATAGATCGCAGGCTGTCTACATTATGGTGAGCAATCACATGACTGGATCTTAACTCAGAGCAGAATCAATGGTTAAACCTCTGGTGTCTTATAGGAATATTAATAGTGACAGAGATTCATATCCATCTTTGACCCACAGCTCAAATCAATACACACAGATATTGATTACATGGACTTAAGCAGTATTGAAGAGTTGTACACAGTAAAGTATTATCATTCATCATTTCTAATTAGAAGTGCAAAATGGCTGACATTTTAAAAGTTTGTATATGTGCATCGTATATATGTCAATAAAATAATAAGTAATATTCCCTGTTAAACTCCACATGAGTGACTACTTTTGGCTAAAGACAGCTGGCTAATCAGCCCCAGCTATTGATTTCACAGACTGGGTTCTAGCAGAGATAAGGGAAACATGATGGTTCAATCAGGAGCTGGTGAAAATAGATTTTTGTTGCTGCCCCACTCTTGTCCTGGATGTGGGAGTCTAATGCGTCTTTAATGCTGAGCACATGTCTGATTCTCAGCAAATCACAGTGAAACAACGTGTTGGAGAAGTGTGGAGAGCAGCACTCTTAACTCAGACCTGTCTGTGCTGTTTGTTTTAGTAGAAATACGTTCGGTAGAAGACAAGAACTAGTGGGGCATCGGTTAGAGAGGGTCGACCGGCAACCGCAAGGTCGGCGGTTCGATCCTCGGCTGCTACGTGTCCTGTGCTGAAGTGCCCCTGAGCAAGACACTGAACCCCTAACACTGCTCCTAATATGCTAGGGATGGGTTAAATGTAAAAATCTATAATGACGACTCTAATTAAGTTTAAGAATATTGTGCTGCCTCAGTTCATAGAGGAAGAAATGCAGTTTGAAGTATTTCATTAACAACTTGAGGAAAACATCCAACATGTCCGTGAACTTCTCTCATGCTTAGTGTCGTTATACTGTTCTACTGGGTTTCACTCCTTAAGTTTCTGTAGTTCACATGAGTTCATAACTGTGACTCTCATTAGCTTGAGGATGCTAAGCTAGCTAAACGCTGCAAAGAGGATTCTTGATGACTGTGAATGAAATGCCCGGTGGCTTCAGCTGCATTCTTCTTTACAATAAAGAAGCATTGTTGTTGTCATTCTTCTTTCTGTGACAATGAGCTCTTTTTTATTGAGGGCTCCCCGGTTTATAAGCTACCAAACATATCGTGTCCATTTCCATAGAAATGGTGAACTTTATCCAGTTACTTCGACACTCAGTAACGCTTGATGCTTGACTTCATTCTGATTCGGTTTTCTGGTTGGACTTCAGTGATTAGCTTTGAGACGTTTCTGACAGCACTGATGTCAAATGTATTTGTTCTCACTCATCTTTTGAGAAATCCTCTGACATCAGGAAGACCTTTGCATTTTAAAGTTTAGGCTCAAATATGACTAGAGACAATCTTGTAATTTGATCACACAACACGTCGTAGTAACGCTCTGTCAGTCGATGTGGTCGACATGGCCTCACTCTACAAACCACTTCACACCTGTAAAGGTTTACATGGTTGTGACAGAATCTACAAATCTATAAACACTTGCAGAAGGTAAAACAATATCCAAACACAGTGATGAAGACCTGAGTCCCATTCAGAAATACATTTAACCATGAAGAACATAAATATGGAGGCAGGTCTGTCTGAATTTGAATGAATCCATGCAGAAAGATTCACAAATTAGTTATGTGTGAACTTTATTGAGACTCTCGTGAGATCACTATTTGTAGCCAATCAGGAGTCGTCTTCCTTTTCAACCAATCAGATTAGTTTATCGTCTGTATAACAAATGTGTTCAAATGCCTTAAATCGGTTAGTAAAGCTCGTACTCCACACACATACATATATATATACAGGTGCTGGTCATATAATTAGAATATCATCAAAAAGTTGATTTATTTCACTAATTCCATTCAAAAAGTGAAACTTGTCTATTATATTCATTCATTACACACAGACTGATATATTTCAAATGTTTATTTCTTTTAATTTTGATGATTATAACTGACAACTAAGGAAAATCCCAAATTCAGTATCTCAGAAAATTAGAATATTGTGAAAAGGTTCAATATTGAAGACACCCGGTGCCACACTCTAATCAGCTAATTAACTCTAAACACCTGCAAAGGCCTTTAAATGGTCTCTCAGTCTAGTTCTGTAGGCTACACAATCATGGGGAAGACTGCTGACAGTTGTCCAAAAGACGACCATTGACACCTTGCACAAGGAGGGCAAGACACAAAAGGTCATTGCAAAAGAGGCTGGCTGTTCACAGAGCTCTGTGTCCAAGCACATTAATAGAGAGGCGAAGGGAAGGAAAAGATGTGGTAGAAAAAAGTGTACAAGCAATAGGGATAACCGCACCCTGGAGAGGATTGTGAAACAAAACCCATTCAAAAATGTGGGGGAGATTCAGAAAGAGTGGACTGCAGCTGGAGTCAGTGCTTCAAGAACCACTACGCACAGACGTATGCAAGACATGGGTTTCAGCTGTCGCATTCCTTGTGTCAAGCCACTCTTGAACAACAGACAGCGTCAGAAGCGTCTCACCTGGGCTAAAGACAAAAAGGACTGGACTGCTGCTGAGTGGTCCAAAGTTATGTTCTCTGATGAAAGTAAACTTTGCATTTCCTTTGGAAATCAGGGTCCCAGAGTCTGGAGGAAGAGAGGAGAGACACACAATCCACGTTGCTTGAGGTCCAGTGTAAAGTTTCCACAGTCAATGATGGTTTGGGGTGCCATGTCATCTGCTGGTGTTGGTCCACTGTTTTCTGAGGTCCAAGGTCAACGCAGCCGTATACTAGGAAGTTTTAGAGCACTTCATGCTTCCTGCTGCTGACCAACTTTATGGAGATGCAGATTTCATTTTCCAACAGGACTTGGCACCTGCACACAGTGCCAAAGCAACCAGTACCTGGTTTAAGGACCATGGTATCCCTGTTCTTAATTGGCCAGCAAACTCGCCTGACCTTAACCCCATGATGCGAAATGCCAGACCCAACAATGCAGAAGAGCTGAAGGCCACTATCAGAGCATCCTGGGCTCTCATAACACCTGAGCAGTGCCACAGACTGATCGACTCCATGCCACGCGCATTGCTGCAGTAATTCAGGCAAAAGGAGCCCCAACTAGGTATTGAGTGCTGTACATGCTCATACTTTTCATGTTCATACTTTTCAGTTGGCCAAGATTTCTAAAAATCCTTTCTTTGTATTGGTCTTAAGTAATATTCTAATTTTCTGAGATACTGAATTTGGGATTTTCCTTAGTTGTCAGTTATAATCATCAAAATTAAAAGAAATAAACATTTGAAATATCAGTATGTGTGTAATGAATGAATATAATAGACAAGTTTCACTTTTTGAATGGAATTAGTGAAATAAATCAACTTTTTGATGATATTCTAATTATATGACCAGCACCTGTATATATACAGTATATAAACATCGAACAAAAAGTTCGGAAATTAGTGTTCGGTAGATTATTTCTCTGTTGTAACAATGCTTCTTGGCAATTAATTTTATACCGTTGGAAAGCCTGTTTAGTTACCTTTTAAACAGAGCCCCAATTGTAAGGAACATGCATTTGTGGGATGAGCAGCACAGCTGAGTATGTGGGTTGCGCCCATGAAAAATTTGCCAAATCTTCTCTGCCAATGCCAAACAACCCTAACCTGGCCAGTCGTCACAGAGAGGGGGGAGGGGATGGTCATGGTGTCAGGTGGCACTGTATGCATCCTTAGCATTAGCTTATACAAGGTCCAGAGTTTTATTGTTCCTTATGGGGCAGTCAACATACTGGTGAAAGGTTGGCAGGGCTTTATCCAGAGTGGTGTGGTTAAAGTCTCCAGTAATTGCCAAAAATGCACCAGAGTCTCTGCAGTGGAGTGGATGTGTCCACTGCTGTCTCAGCGTCAGCTGATGGGGGGACGTACACAGCGACAACAATGGCAGATGAGAACTCCCTCGTCAAATAATAAGGACGCATCCCCACGGCTAACAGTTCAATGTCCGGGCTACAGAAGCGTTCCTTTTCACACACATGGTCAGGATTGCACCACCTCTCGTTCACATACACTGCAATCCCGCCACCTCTCTTCTTACCGCTCTGTATAACGTCTCTGTCCGCCCGAGCAGTCCTGAAGCCGGGCAGGAACTCACTGTGGTCAGGGAAATCCGCGTGCAGCCATGTGTCCGTGAAACGCTACACTCACGGAAGTCCCTCTCATTCTTTACCAGCGCGCCGAGCTCGTCCCTCTTATTTGCCAAAGACCTCACGTTCCCATTAGTATCGCCGGTACCAAAGGTTTGTATTTCCTCCTCTTCGCCCTCCGCTTAGCACCAGACCCGCATCCCCGACGTCTTCTCCGCAGTTCCTCCGGGATCACAGGCCTGGTGCCGAGCAGCAGCCGTGGCTCACTCAGCGCGATCAGCTGGTCACGGGAGTAAACAATGGCCCCACTCATTGTGTGGTTCTCCGTTACACAGAGGGAGAAAAGTAACAGAAAAGCCATGAGAAAAGTTGATAAAAAGTTACGGTCCGTTGTCTGACTGTAAAAACCAAACGTTAAGTGTTAGGATCCTGACTCTCGCAGACAATGGAAGGCCGCACGTCGCCCTCTGCTGCGTCTTTTGTCAGCAAAGTCGTGCCAAAAAATCAGCTGGTTTGAGTTATAATCAAAAAGTATTTAATAATTAACAGAAGCCAAAACAGTTACAAACTGAATTACACTATCGATAGCAATATGTTCCATGGAGCAGAGGCCTAATTCCTCCCAACAGTCCAGCCTAGCTAGTCTTTTCCATCTTTAACTCTCTTATCTTCTCTTTGTTTGTCTTTTTGTGATGATGGCAAGGTCAGCGTGATTATTTCAGTTAACACACCGAGGTTTCAAAGGTTGACAGTGATGTTGTTTGATGATGAAGATCTTGTGTCCTCCCTTCCCTCCTCCCTCCTCCTCTGCAGTACCGGTGGAGGGCGTTCTGGAACGTTCTGTGCCATCTGCAGCATCAATGAGATGATCCAGCAGCAGAACATCGTGGATGTTTTCCACACCGTCAAAACACTGAGGAACAACAAGACTAATATGGTGGAGACCATGGTGAGGACTCACAACACACACACACACACAGTTTATCAAGAGATTATGATCAAACAGTTTGTTGGTGGTTATGATAATGATGGGAAATCCTTGAGATCTGATCTTTTTATTTCTTATAAAATTATTAAGTTTCATCACACAAACACCCACACACACACCACACACACACACCTACACACACATATCATTTCAATTCAGTTTTATTTATTTAGTCCAAAGTCATAAATTTGCCTCAGAGGGCTCTACAATCGGTACAACATAAGACATCCTCTGTTCTTACACCATCACATCGGAAAAGAAGCCCCGCCCCCCAAAAAAAGCTTTAATGGAAAAAAAGGATGAAACCCCAGAAAGAGCCAATATAAACATATTTATTTATTTATATATATATATATATATTTGGAGATAAGGGCGACACAGTAATGTTCTGCAGGTCACATCTGGAAACCAAAGGTCAGAAGTTTATTTTGTTATTCTTTTGTACAGCCTAATTACTCTGCGTATGATTTTAGATAGCTGCTTGAAATAGTTATTTATTAATGAATTAATGACCATATATAGTCTATGACCATAGAGTCGTTTTCTTTCTTGATTCTTCAGTGTGTTAATCTTTGTATCTCATCTGTATTGAATTGATCAGCTGATGTTCAGGGAAAGTTACGTTTAGGATGTTTCAACAAATTTAGAATTAAAGTCTTTGGTTGTCAATAAGTAACACTAAGCCCTTTTCTTTTCATTGTGTCCATGTACAGGAACAGTACAAGTTCTGCTATGAAGTGGCTCTGGAGGCACTCAGCTCCTTCTGATTGGCTTTCAGAGGAATTTTTCAACTCAACGCTGGAACACACAATGTACAAAACCCAACCTGTGAGCGTATGTGTGTGATTCCGTGTGCAGAAGAGAGGGCATGCTTGCATATTAGCAAGCATTAGTGTGTGTGAGCATCCATTGTGTGCCTGTGACAACACACACAGACAACCTGTACAGAAGAGAGAAAAAAGGCAGCAAACAGAAAAAGAAAAAGAAAAAGTGAAATATTGAAAAAACTAAAAAGATGTTCCTTCTCTATCTCTCTGCCCTCTCTGCTGGACTGTCATGTGACTATTTTACAGTATTTCCTTCTGAGATCTATTCTACGCCTTGAATGTTGTCTCCCTGTGACGGCTGGATGCACTCTGTAAGATTATTCGCATTTAGTGACGCCACAACATTCATCCCAGAGTATTTCTAGAAAGTAAAGTTAAGCTGACATGTTGATGCTGTTTCTGATCATTCACTTAAGTCAAAGTGAAAACCAACAGACACTCGTTGATAGTTCTGACATTCTTGTTTGAAATCACAAGCTGATGAATTTCCTCGTGGCTATTGGACCTCTCGACTGCCTCATTGTTAAATGCTTTCCGTCCTACAGTATGGTTTCTTTTCCTTCATACTGCTTTAAGTCTGACTTTCCTTTGACACTTTTCTTTTACTGAGGAAATACTGAGGACAAATAAGCATGTTAGAAGTTAAAGTAAGTGGAGTCCAGTGCATGGTGAAGAGGAACAACAGCATTTTACAGACAAAAGAATAAAGTCCTGCGTTGCCTTTAAACCAAATGTTGTTGTTGCTGTCTGCTCCAGGTTTTGTCTTTTGGGGCTGTAAGAAAAAAATGGATTCATAAATGTTTTTGAATGGCTTTATGTAAAGTCAGTCTTGTCAAAATCTTAAACTGTGCATCCACCCTTACTGTAAATACGACGAGACGACCGCAGTCAAACAAAGAGACATACTGACAAACATCGTGCACCAGACACATTACACACCGAGGTTATCCTTTTTAAAAAGTGTTGTCAGGGTCACATTCAGAGACTCTATTAGAGTTTATGTTACTTACTACAAACCATTGAAACATGTCTCAAACATTAAGATATGTATCTTTTTTTCATATTGCACATTTAGCTGCCACTCACATCCAGAGTGACTAACTATGAGGAAGAAGATGACGATGCAGACTTTTAGAGTAAACATGCCTGTTTGGATCTAACTTTCTCTGGATTCATGATATTTTTTAACAAACCAGGTCACCCTGCATCTCATATGAGGAATACGTCTCCCTGAAAATGAAATGGATTCATAAATAGTCATACCACAAAATGTTTCTTATTCTACTTCTTTTGGTTTTGAATGTTTTCTTTGACTTCAAACTACTGAAAAACTTCAAACTTGGCAACCCGTTCATGTTTTTTCTGTCCGTCCTGAACTATAGGCAGGAAAAAGCAACCGATCAAGAGCTTGTAGATTTATGAAATAAGAGCTGCACTTTGTTGGTTTTGATGGTTGTTCTTCATTTTGTATTCTTTATCCAGCTGAAGCAGCATCAACATGAGAAAAATAAAAAACTTAAAATACATACTTGTATACAGTATATTAATATCTAAATAAGCTAATTGAAATGGATTCAGAGATGAGTTGTAAATCAGACTTTAATAACTGCAGAGTAAACTTTACCCATGACGACTCATTAAGTTCTTTAGATGAAGATCAGATACAGATGCTCTTTTTCATTAAAAATATTCTGGAAACGTTTCCAGAGAAGAAGCAGCCTTCCATTTGTCATTCAAATGAAAACTCAAAGACAAAGACAGTTCTTACTTACTTTTCCTCTGCAAGCCTGAAATTAGATTTTTTAAATTTTCACAAAGCTGAAGGTCTCAACATTTACGTAGTAACATAAAGTTTGCTCGGAGGTTTCAAACCTCTCTCAGTCAGACTTCTGGACCTCAGACAAAGACTGTCAGAGTGTTGTACTGAAGACAATGTTTCACATTTGTATTTCCACTCTGGCTTTATTTGGTTGGCTTGGTTCATCTCTACTATTTATTTTGTTTGTTTATCTTTTGGACCTGATTTGTACATTTCTTTTGTATAATTATGATTCTGATGATTATCTGTCTAGTGTTGTTTAGATCTGGTGATGCCATTACCGTTGGTTGTTTAGTTGTTTGAAATGTGGTTGACATAAAATAAAGGGACCAAAATGTTCTCTCTTTACAGACTCCTCTTTTGATTTAATTACCATTTGACTAACAAGGACTACGCCAATAACAGTATGAGTTTTGAGAGGTTTATTACATAGTGGAATGATTGTTAGATTCAAGAAGCGGAAGGGGTCGAGGGATGAAATAGATATAGGGTAGAGGGGGTGAAGGGGTGTAGGGTAGAGGGATGATGGGATGTGGGGTAGGGATGTGGGGTAGGGGTCGAGGTAGAGGGATGTAGGGTAGGGGTAGAGGGATGTAGGGTAGGGGTAGAGGGATGAAGGGTGGAGGGATGAAGGGATGTAGGGTAGAGGGATGAAGGGATGTAGGGTAGAGGGATGTAGGGTAGAGGGGTGAAGGGATGAAGGGTAGGGGTCGAGGTAGAGGGATGTAGGGTAGGGGTAGAGGGATGAAGGGTAGGGGAAGAGGGATGAAGGGTGGAGGGATGAAGGGTTGTAGGGTAGAGGGAAGAAGGGATGTAGGGTAACGAGGAGGGTTTGTAGAAAGGAGGTTAGGCGATCGATGGGGGACCGTTTATGTCCGGCGGCTGGCGGGAACGGGGGGGACTGGAGACTGTAGGGTGGGGGCCGTCTCTTCGGAAGATCTGGCGGTGCTGAGTCCCCTGTTGTTACTGTAATTCTACGAGAGAGAGAGAGAGAGAGAGCGAGAGAGAGAGAGGAGGACAAAAACGGGGTTGGGATGTGAAGACGAGAGTCGAAGAGGGAGTGAACGGGTTTGTTGTGCTTAAGTACTCTGTGCGGAGGAAATGAGCGGTGTTCTGGGCGTGGCCCTGTTCCTGAACAAACTTCATAAAACTACATTTCATATATTTATCTGACTGTTGCTCTTTTTCATGCTACATGAGGCTTTTGTATTAACTCTTTCCTGAACAGAAGTGAGTGACCTGGACTTATTAGATCTACTGTTTGCTAATTGGAGCTTTTACTTTTCGACCAATAGATTATTAAACTCATTAGTATTGAAGCTCCTCGCCTGTATTCATTTTGTTCTAATGATTGTATTTCTCTCTCTCTGACTCCGATAATTATCATCTGTAATGATGAAACTCAGAGCAGAAGTGTCCTCACTAGTTCAGTGATGTGTTCACGATACAAACCCAGGTGAGCTTCAGCCCTCAGTGGTCGATGATAACCCAGTATACAAAGCTTCAAACACCTGGAGACCTTCATCTCTTCTTCTCTTAAATTAACTATTAAAGTTAGTCTTATAGTGCAGAAAGCCCACCAATGATTATTCTTTCTGCAACCGGATGTGTGATTCCTGTGAGTGTTCTCACATTCTCTGAATAAAGTAGTGAAAGCAGCTTCATTGGTCAGGATTTACCAAGTATCTGTGATAGGGTTAGGTTAAGGTTAACCCATATCTAACAATAACCATATCGCAGACACTTGGGTTAATCCTAACCCCTCTGACTCAGCCAATGCTTGTTTGTCCTCCTTCCTCCAGGAAAAGGCTGCGTAGCATTACGAGCCTAACCTTCTGTTAGTGCAGTTGGTACATGACAAGAAGATGTTCACTGTACAGAAGAGTTTTTTACATATGTGTCATCCTTAAAATGTTTCCACCATGAGACCAGCACAAAGTAGGAGAAGATGAGAGAAATGATTCATCAGCTAAAATAAATACAACAATAAAATCAAAACACACAGGTCGTTGTAGGAGGATTTTTCTTTCTTTCTAATCAATCAGTCAGTGATGAATGCAGCTCTGAGCCAACAGCCTCATCCTTTATTTAGCTGGTTGATTCCTAAGGAGCTCATAAATATGCATGAGTTGTGATTAGCATAGGTACCAAGGACGGGGCCTGTACCTTGGCATTATGACGATCAATCAGAAACACTAAGGGGTTCCTCAGAGAGAAGCTGTCTGTCAGCTTGGCTTTGGGCTGAGATGATGCACACACACGCACACACACACACACACACACACACACACACACACACACATCAAAAATGGGTACACTCAAAGAATACAAAACACACACACACACACACATCACACAAAAGTCTGCAGAAAGCATGCATTAACACACTCACAGGCAAAAAAAAGCACAGGAAGCATGTACACACCTCTAGGCACGCACCAGCATATATCACACACACACAGATACAAAGCCAATGTCAATGTTTGTCTCTCTTCTCATTTTCTAACTCTCTCTCCTTCTGTTTCCCCTTTCTTTTCATTCCTTTTCAGAACTGAGTTGGTAATGAGTTTGAATATCGGCCCATTTCATTTGCTCTCATTGAAATGTGTTATTTGGGCAAAGAGGGGGGGTGCTGTAATATGTATTCTTTTACCACTCCTAACAGGGTTATTAATACATGTTCTCCCAGAGAATTATATTGTATTGTAGGCAGCAGATCCCATGCATCTCCCTGTGTTGCGTTTACACTGATCATGAAAATATGATTCAGCCAACTTCATGCATTCAGTCTGCACCTGAATTGCATTTCACTAGATCCAGCTCCAAGGATTCAAGGATAATTAATGTCATTATGTAACACAAGGATGCAAGATTGAAATTCAGTTGTAGCCCATTTATACCAAACACATGACGAACAAAACAAAAACAGTAGCACATTCCTGTAGTGCATTTTTTAAATTTCCATCATAAACAATGTAAACAGCAGCAACAAAAACAATTCTCTGAGGAGATAAAATGGCCGACATATTCACATCAAATTCTCAAAATGAGGGAAACATTATACATCAACTTTCAATATGTTTGAGCACCAAGCATCATAATGTGAACACAGACCACCTCCTCTAGTCCACCAGAGTCCTGATCTCTGTCCTGATGTCCGCCCGTCAAGTGCATCTTGATCCTGGACCACGATGGATCCAGGTCTCTGTGAAGATGTGGGCTCAACACCGATTTCCCGTTGCTGGTTCGCCTGAAGTCTTATTTAATCCTTTAAGCGCCCATTAGACAGCCAGGAAGAGGCTGTACATGTTTGC